CAAGGCCTGGCCGAGACCCCATCCCCCACAACGCTGCCCGTGCTGGTCGTCTCGACCTACTGCATGCTGGTGGGCGAAGCCGGGGGATTCATCTAACTCGCAGCCGGCGCATGCCTGCTCCTGCCATGGGTGCTAAAATCGCCCAAATTGCCCCTCGAATTTGTGAACAAACAGTCGCCGGAAACCGCTTAGACTCGCATCGTCGAATTTCGCCATTGTGTGTCGTGGCTCGCGCTGCTAAGGTGCAGCAAAACCCTCGTCCGTGTCGAAGCCTGTTGAAGCACACCTCGGGAAGCGATACCCAGCCAGAGCAAAATCCTCTGTTGGCCGCCTCTGTTCACGAAAGTGAAAGGCGCTTAGGGTTTCATCACGCCAAAATTTGCTATCATGGGTTGCCCGTAAATCCCTATCACCAATATCCTCGATCTCCTTACACCGTCGGTGCTCGTCCTGAAAGCCCCCAGCCATGCGCTCATATTCCCAGCCGCAGCACTGCCGATCTGCCCCAGCAACGGCTGCGCTTGCACGCTCAGGCCTCCAGTTGAGCCGCACGTCCTGACCACCATACACGGCAAAGGGCTCATCCTCGACGTGCTGAGGCTTACACTCGTTGAAGGGATTCACCTTCGAGATGGTATCTCTCTGTATTTGTCGTCAAGAGGTGGCTATAGTGGCATATTGCAGTGAGCCACCTATGTATCTATAGCATGAATGTTATGAATTAGTGATCCGGATGTGTTGGAGAGAATAGAATAAATACTCATGGGAGTGGACACTGGTTTGGCATAAGTCATCTTCATCTTGCAATGAGCCAACTATGCATCTATAGCATGAAATGTTTCGAATTAGTGATTTGGATGTCCTGGAAAGAATAGAAGAAATAATCATGGGAGTGGACACTGGTTTGGCCTAAATCATCTTCATCTTGTGAATGAGATCTCCAATATACTTGGTCTAGGAGCCGAACATGCCAGTAGATGATCTTTTAATCTCCATACCCAAAAAGTGATGTATTTCTCCTAAATCCTTGAGAGAGAAAGATTGATTGACTTTGTTAATGAGGGGTTGAACTTCAGTGTCATTGTTACCTATCACTAAAATGTCATCAATGTAGAGAAGTAACCATAGAGTGGAGTGACCAATATGCATGACATAAAGAGAATTATCAGAAGTTGATTGAACAAGGCCAAGGCTATGAAGAACTCCTTGAAGCTTTGTAAACTAGGCTTAGGAGCCTGTTTAAGACCATAGAGAGACTTTCTCAGCTAACACACAAGAAGTTCAGAACCTACAATCTCAATACTAGGAGGTTGAGACATGTATAGCTTCTCATCAATCTGGCCATGCAGGAAGGCATTATTAACGTCGAATTGTCTAACTACCCAATTAGAGGTTAGAGTAAGAGACAATACAACCCTTATGGTGTTAGGCTTGACAACCGGGCTAAACGTTTTAGTAAAGTCTATCCCTGCAGTTTAATTGTAACCCTTAGCTACTAACCAGGCCTTGTACCTAGCTATAGAGCCATCAACATCATGTTTGATTCTGAAAACTAATTTCCATCCATTGATAGGTTTATGAGAAGATAGAGAAACTAGCTCCCAAGTTGACAAGAGGATAAAACTCTAATTGCATAGTTCCCTTCCATTGAGAATGAGTGAATTCTTGTTAAGCAGTTTTTGGTTCTTAAAAAGTGAAATCTGGCAGAAAAAAATCCTTGGGCATAAGATTTCCAGTCGTAGAATTGGTCACCATATGATGTTGGTTAATAGTTGAACCTGCATGGTTAGTAATAGAGACAGGAGAAGAATCATCCACAATAGGTAATTGCACTATAAGGGGTATAGTTGTGTTATTGTTTGCTGTGTGCGAGGATGGTGTAGAAGGATGATGAGAAAAAGTAGGATGTATCTCATTGCGAGGGGATGGAGTAGTGGAGAGATAAACAGTATGTGGTGAAGTAGTTGGGGAAGAGTTTTCTGTAGAATTGGTATCATGGATTGATTATTAGGAGGAAAAAAGGGTTTGTTGTGAAGGACACGAGGAGGAGTATGTGAGAATGATAGAGAGCTTGGGGAGGGAGTTTGCGAACCTGTGGAGACAGAGGTGGAAAAGAAAATTTGGATTCATCAAATACAATATCATTGGCAATAACCACTTTGCCATTAGGGAGAAGAGCTTTCAAAACCTTTGTGTTTTAAGCTATAACCTAAGAAGGTGCTAGGGATAGATCTTGGTTCTATGTTGTGTTTGGTGTATGGTCTGAGATTAGGGAAACAAAGACAACCAAAGATCTTTTGATTGTTGTAATTTGGTTTATGACCATGAAGTTTTTCCAAGGGAGATGAAGAGTAGGGTTTTGACAGGTAACCTGTTAACAATGAAAACAACAGTGCTAAAGGCATCATCCCAATAATGCAAGAGAACATGAGAATGAGTAAGAAGAGCCAAAACCCGTTTCAGCTAATTCAAATACTCAATTGAAGGCTGCTTCAATTTGCAAATATCGAAGTTTATCATATATTGAAGACTTTTTTTTTTCAAGTGTTTGATAAATTTGCTTACGAGTTTTATTGTAAATAGTTTTTCAGTGTTCTTACACCACTGAAGCACTGTGTTTTGTTTTTCTATTTTCTACAAACACTTATCGTACTTAGGGATTAAGTACTAGGATAGTTGGGAGGAATTCTTAGCTAGTTTGAAGTCCACAAGGTTGTGGCCAGAAGATTATTAGTTAATATGTTCGAGTATAATGTTGGCTAGACTAGAAGGGAGTTCGAGTTTTGTAAGTCCAAGTTGTACTTTGTGCGTGCAAACCGAGCTATTAATAAAAGAGCTCTGAGGGGTAGTGAGACGCTCCCCGAAGAGACTTTAAAGTTAATTGCTTCCATGTTTATTTTTGGTGATTGCGTACTCTAGTTTACTCCCAATATCCACTTCAAAATCAAATTAAATCTTATTCTATTCTATAGTTTTTTTCAAACTATTTGTTAAAATTATTATTATTTTTTTCAACTCATTAAGCAAGTTTTTATTGGGTAATTATTTTTTATTGTATAAGCACACACTTTAAAATTTCGTACACAATTGCTATAAATAATAATTTCAATATTGTATTATACAATTAATTGTCATAATAATTAATATGTAAGTTAAATAGTTTATATTTATATTTTTTATTTTTACTAATGATAGAATTTATAAAATGTGATTTACTCATGCATTATCTAACTTATGATTTTAAATATTACATAAATACATGTATCACATATAAATTTTATTTCTACTTGTGCACGTACACAAGATCGTATGCTAATAAATCATAAGACGTCTATGAAACCATTATGTTAATTAATGGATCAAATGGAAATCTAAATATCTTTTATATATATTAAATGTTCTTATAAAAAGAGCCAATTTATGTTTAAATACTAAAATTGAAAATAATAAAACTTTATACATTTGGAATATTATACATATATGTATCACTTTTATGCTAAAGTATATTAAATACCTTAATAAAAATAAAAGAATAAATGACATGAAAAAACTTTATTTAATTATAGGATATTTCCGCTCATCTCATATATAGATTATTACCCTCTTTTCAAATAATATTAGAAATAAACAGTGAAGCCAACAGTTGACTCCATAGTGGAGTCAACCTTCTATATACAACAAGTAAACGATACCATATTAACTATGAGTCAACTGTTGGCTTCATAACAAAATTTTATAAATAAAAGTATACATTCTGATTTGTTTAAATAGAACTTTGCTACTAATTAAATATAAAATACTGATAAGATATAATACTTATGTAATTTAATAAAAAATAATCATTTATTAAACATAATTTTTATTTAATATTATTTTAATAAATCTATCATTTCATTTAAAATGCAATTTATTAAAATGTTTAATAGCTAAAAAAACTCATTCCACGTTATTTGATAAATTTGAGGCCAAATTATGGTAGGTGACATAATCTTTTGTGTAGTTCCTATTTTCATTTATTACAAGTCTTTTATTGCATCAGCATTACGTGAAAACCACGTGTACAACCAAAAGAATGTGTCTTTTTGTTAGTAGTTACAGATGCAGCATATAGCAGATGATATTACAAAACAAATGCAATGATACAATTCTCAGTAATTTCACACAAGGAGCCCTCTGACATAAAGAT